CAAAATCATGCTATGCTTAAAAAGCGACGACACTTGTGAAATATGCTGAGAAACTTTTCTCGACGATATCCGAAGCAAACTACGTTGTTGCCTATCAGCTTATCAGCTAAAGACGTTTGTTCGATGGTGGTTGTTATAGCAGCCAGCTAGGTTAAAAATTGCTTCCTCTCTTAGACTCAAAACTCATCATCATATACGGAGACTAATCTGGAAGCATTCTTTCTCAAGGCTTCGCTGTATATGCGCGAAAGACGATCCGCTTCTTTTACATTTATAGATCTTCCTTTCGCTTTACTTTTTCATGAGGCGGCCGACCGCCTCATGGAAGCATTTCACACTATATTCATCAGGGAAGGGTAACCTCCAATATTTCCTTTTATCACGCAGCCAAAGATCCTCCTGCTCATCTGATTTCTCTCACAGGCGTAAAACAATCAGTAAACCAAGCATTGTCAGCTCTACTCGTCCATATCGACAAGGAAAACGGAAGGAAAGTTTGTAACAACTAGAACATCAGTCGTTCTTTACATGTTTGCAATGAACACTTTTCTGGCCCCCTCTTTTCAGGCAGTCAGTGGTAGGAAGCTCGCATCAATTGCCGTGCCATCAGCCAGGAGTACTTGTAGCAACACTCCTTGGCTCTCGCTGTGTGCTCAATGCACCGGTGTAGCTGTTTGTTACATGCTGTTGTTAGGCAGATAATTCTCGGTAATTTGGTTCAATTGCTATCATGCTTTCCCTTCGATGTTGCACGATTCTGCTTACGGACGTGTGAATGGGAATCGGATACTGGTTCGAAGGAATACCTAATAAGCGAGTAGAAGCTAGTCAAAATGTTTGTAAAAATTTCCTACACGGCCGAAATCCAATCCCGAACCACTATTTTCATCCAGCTTACCGCATTTTGTTCCGATTTCTCGACAGGGTGACTGAATGCGTGTCGCACGGATGTTCCATAACTTCTATGTTGCGTTACGATGATGAACTTCTTAGGGATAAGTTTTGAAACCTCTTGGAAAAATAGTTCACAGTAGGGCCGGTGGGCCTGAAGAAAACGTTAGATTTATAATTTAGTTAAGCAATAAAAATTTGATCCTAAGTGCTTGTAGTTAAATTTGAAAGATGCTTCAATCAAGCTTAAAAATTGGGAGCAATGCTGAGAGTTTGTGAACGAGTGGGGTTAATATCTGCGACAATATTTAAAACCAAATAATAACATTATAGTCAAGAATGCAGCTAAAGGCAACGCATGGTAATTATCAAAATGTTAGAATGTACCAACATTCGCCATAAAGTCCGTAAGTCTCTTCTCAGATATGACCACGTGCTCCTCAACTTTTTCAGTTTCGTCGAAGCACGTCTTAAATTTAAGATTAATCACTTGGCACCCCATTTTTACTGCTTACTTAAAATACACTAACGTAATGTTCCCTTTAAACGTATTGTCTCTACTGTAAAGTGTTTTTTTTGAAGAAGTTCCACAGTTTATTACTAAAATACTAAGACTTTTAACTGGTAAAACTATCACACAAGAAACTTCTAGATTTACAAGGTAGTAAAACAGAATAAGCCCTGTGACGGCATCCTTATGGTCAGTTACGATTTCAAAGACTTATTCACTAATATTTTTGTTGATTATATCACTAAGGCAATAGCTAAACTTGTAGCTGATGACTCGCTTGAATAAGATGTTAACCTCTCAGTTAATTCCATTATAACGTTAGTAA